GCAGAATGGTACAGTCCATACAACACTGAAATGAGCCCTTGGAAATTGAATTCTCAGGTTTTTTGTTTTTTTCACTTCATCAGACATTATCAACTCTATGGACACAAAAAGATCACTTGTTCACTTAGAGTCACTTCATCAGAACAGAACACTGCTCAGGATTGATTTTTAATTACTTGGCCAAGTCGCTTTCCCCAGGTTTTGTTTTTGTTTTTAATCTCCTGTAGAGGCAGCCAGGTGAAGGAGAAAGTAGTAGAAAGATCTCAGTACCTGGCCTGGCCCCGGTACGGATGCTGACAGCAAAGAGGGTTCCAGAGGGCAGATCCGTGTTTCCGAAGTGGGTGTGATTCCCAAGGTACCTTCAGAAAAATGAATGAGTGGCTAGGAATCGTGGGAACAGATGATACAAGTGGAATCTAGGACAGTGACCAGAGGGAAGATTTGGTCCAGAACCAAGGAGATAGAAAGTAGAGAGACAAGAATGGGTGCCAAGCCTAAACTATCAGTGCAAGGTAAGCAAAGCCCCAGAAGACCTGCTTGGGTTGAACCAGGTGAAGTTGGACAAGACTATCCACCTACGGTATTCTTTGCAAAGCTACATGTATTCAGTAGAGTGAATACCCTCCAAACCTGCATCCCGATACAGCCATTGTTAACTACCAACTAAAAGAGACTGAACATAGTCCTCAGTTGTTCTCTCATCCAGTGAGTAATTTTTTAAGTGACGTCAAGATGCACTTCTTATGAGTTATAGGTTTCGTTTTTGTATGTGTTGCTTTACTGCTGGAATTACTTTTTCTTAAAAGCACAAGAGACTGCCATAAAAAAAATAAACTGGAAGGAAAGTTAAAATGAAGAGCTTTGTCCTGCTCACTGAGTCACCATCCCTGGTTGCCCTTGGGAGTTGCCACATAAGCCAGTGGAAAAAACCCACACTGTGAAGGAGCCTCAGAAGGCAAGATGTGATGTGAGCTGCAGGTGAGCAAGTTTGGCAGCCACACAGTAATCCACATTCCATTCTCCAGCACACCCAAAGGAACACAGACCTAAGAGCTATCTGTCAGGCAGGAATGAAAGGGAAAACTTTCCTGAACAGAAGGCACTTTTTCTAGGAAAGAGAGATGGGGGCGTGCGTTTTATATCTTCATGATCTAGCTCTTATTTTTCCTGAATGCATTTGTTTGTTTAACAAATATTTATTCAGATTTGACAGAGCTAGGTGCTGGGAAAGTACCAAGCAAAAGTAAACATGTCCTTTATCTCATACAGCCACCACAGGAATCCATCAGTATGTGATGTAAATGGACTCAAGATAGTGCATCTAAGGAGAGTACAGATATCTTCATAGCATGGAGACACTCAGGCAAGGGTTTTCGTCCATAGCTGGAATTTGAAGGAAAAGCTAGTGAACAGTAAAAAAGGGGACTCTCAGGAAAAGGCCATCAGGGAAGTATCCCCTCCCTATCTCCCAATGTTGCAGCTGGCTCTTAGCTCTGCACCTTATTACTGGGCTCTCTGGCTGTGGCCCTACACTCCAGGGTGATTGCTCAGGAGATTCCCCCATCCCCATGCTCTCTATATCACCTACCATCTACTCATCCTTCCCAGCTCAACTTAAACGGAGACGCTTTCCCTTCATCCTGTCTTGAGCCATAGAGAGATATTTTCCAATGTGTTGCACGTGCCTCTGAGGCTTACCCTTCATAAGTTGGCATCTGTCCTGCTAGGCTCTGAGCTCCCTGGGGACAGGATCCAGCCTGGTTCTTTGAGATCCTAAGCATTTACCATAGTACATGAGTCTGTGAGCAGTAAGTATTAGTGAGAGGAAGAAAAAAAGAGTTGTATGTCATGACAGCAATAATAACAGTGATAGCTAATATTTAAATGTCACTTTCTGTATGTTAAGGACTGTTGTAAGCATTTGAACACTCTTATCAACCAACCTAAATGGTGGATGTCATTTTCTCTCTCTCTCTCTTACAGATGCTGTTTAAACTTTTGATCCCAATTTGTAAAATGAAGATGTTAATAATATTTATTTTTGAAAATGAGGATCCTAGAAAGTGTTATGGCTTGAATATGAAATATCTCTCACTGGTTCATGTATTAAATCCTTGGTCCCCTGCTGGTGGTACTATCTAGGAAAATTCTGGGTACAGTGGGAAGTGAGGCCGACCTGAAGGAAGCCAGTAACCAAAGTCACACCTTTGAAGATTATGCTAGCTCCTCAGTCCCCACCTCTCTGCCTTCTGTCGGCTGGGAAAAAAAGACATTCCTGAATGGCACACTCTGCTACTGTGGTGTTCTTCCCAAGCTCATGGAATCAAGAAAATGTTTGCTGAAGTCTTAGATACCCACAAACTAAAATAAATATTTTCTCCTATAATTGTTTATGTCAGTCATTTTATCACAGGAAACAGGATAAGTGACTAATACAGTAAGTGAAATGCATACATGGTACGAACTGGCTAAAGACTGCATGCTATCATGATCATGTGCAAGGCCAAAGACAGGAGCCCAAAGCCCTGGTTCATAAGACTCCAGTTTTTAGGGAAAGAAGAATGAAATAAACTTATCCTGAAGATGCTCATTAGAGCACAACACAGACTTAGTGTGACCTCCACATGGATAGCACTGGTAGGTTTTTTTTTTCTTGGCCTGACACTCTCCACTTGCTAGCAGCCCTCAGAAATGGGTCACAATCAGGCAGAATGTACAAGTGACTGAAGGTCTCCTATTGTGCTCTCTGCTGAAACAAAGCTTTCCCTTGGTTTTGGAGAAGATTCACAATAGCCATCGCTGTGTTTGGAGCTAGTCAGCAGGTCCAACCTTTTGACATTGACACAGATGTTATCATCTACATAGCTCCATAGGCCACAGGTTGGAACACCTTTGATGGAAGGACATTTTGTAAATATAATTTAATAACTAGGAGAAAACATGATATAGTGATAAACATCACAAGTTGAAGTCCCTCACTCTTAGTTTAGCACTATGCTACTACTACCAATTTTAAAGGGTTTTAGGTTTTCTGAGCCTTAGCTTTGATTCAGTTGCTGTAATAAAACATCATGACTAAGGCTTTTTGTGGACCTCTCTAGCACTTTGCTTCTTTCTATTCTCATGTGGTCTTCATTTATCATGGTCTCTTATTCCTTGTTCTCCCTCTCTGTTCTTGATCCAGCTGGGATCTCCCGCTCCCCTAAGCTCTCTTTCCCTCAAACCTTGCCCTTCATTACCCCCACTAACGTCCAGGTTGTTCATGTAGATCTCATCCATTTGTCTGTCATTGGGCGATCCTTGTGTCTTTCTTGGAGTCCTGTTTTCTAGGTAGCCTCCCTGGAGTTGTGAGTAGCAGTCTAGTCATCTTTGTTTTACATCTAGTATCCTCCTATGAGTGAGTACATACCATGTTTGTCTTTCTGAGTCTGGGTTACCTCACTCAGGATGATTTTTTCTAGATCCATCCATTTGCCTGCAAACCTCATGATGTCAAAGATACCTCCACAATAGACTACTGGCAATGGTCGAGAGACAGCCCGAACTGACCTACTCTGGTGATAGGATGGCCAAACACCCTAATTGTCATGCTAGCAACCTCATCCAATGACTGAGGAAACCGGATTCAGAGATCCACAGCTAGGCTCCAGGTGGAGCTCCGGGAGTCTAATTAGTGAGAAAGAGGAGGGTTTGTATGAGCGAGAATTGTTGAGACTAAGGTTGGAAAAAGCACAGGGACAAATAGCCAAATGAATGGAAACACATGAACTATGAACCAAAGGCTGAGGATCCCCCAACTGGATCAGGCCCTCTGGATAAGTGAGACAGTTGATTAGCTTGATCTGTTTGGGAGGCATCCAGGCAGTGGGACCGGGACTTGTCCTCGGTGCATCTGCTGGCTGTTTGGAACCTGGGGCTTATACAGAGACACTTGGCTCAGCCTGGGAGGAGGGGACTGGACCTGCCTGGACTGAATCTACCAAGTTGAACTCAACCCTCAGGGAGTCTTTGCCATGGAAGAGATGGGAATGGTGGGTAGTCTGGGGGGAAGGGGGCAGGAGGGGGGAGAACAAGGGAATCCGTGGCTGATATGTAAAATTAAATTAAATTATAAAATAAATTTAAAAAATAAAATAAAAAAAAATTAAAAAAATCATGACTAAGGCAACTTAAGGAAGAAAAGTTTCAAAAAATAAATAAAAAGGAAAAAAGTGTTCATTTGGCTTATGATTCCAGAGGTACAAGAATACATTATAGTGGTATGCCATGGCAGAGGGTAGCAGACATGTTTGCAGGAACAAGAAGTTGAGAGAGCTCCTCAAATATAAACACAAAGTAGACCGAGTAAACTGTAAATGGCATGGGGCTTTAAACTCTCAAAGCCTACCTCCAGTGAAAGGCTGTACCTCCCAAGCTTCCCCAAACAGGGCCACCAGCTTGGGAACAAGTACTTAAATACCTGAGTCTGTGGGAAACATTTCTTATTCAGCCACCACAGTCACTCATGAGCTAGGGATAATACAACCCACCATTCAATAAAAGCATGTTTTCCTTCCCCCACTGGCTAATTATCAGAATTTGAAAAGCAGGAGTAAAAATGATGTCTGCATCAAGGGAATGACATTTAAAAGGGTTCAACTGCAAATTCCACAGCATTGTGTTGTTATCAGAGATCATAAACAAGGCATAAAATATTTGGGAAGCCTGCTACTTCATCTTGTGATGTTACAGGAGATACAGGTTGACTGAATCAAGTCCTTATCCCCAAGGGAGCCCTGCTTAGAAAGAAATCCATTCTTCTCCCTGGCACCAGGAGAAAGGGCACTGGGGCCAGGGGAAAGGCCTTGGCCTGCACGGCATCCAAGTTCCTGGCACTTTGCCCTCCCTTGGGGGGTATCTGGTCTCCTAACCCCAGCCATCAGCTCAGAGCTTGCCCGGACTGCCTGGCCCAGGGCTCTAGGGACAGGCATATGGAAGATTTCCAAATCTTCAAAATAAGCAAGCAAGGGAATCAATCTCACAATGGGCACAGTGTCCTGAGTGCAGAAGGGAAGTGTGCTGATGGAGGAAGTCACCAAGGACTCGGGAAGAAAAATCACGGAGGTCCCTGGATGGACTGTAGCAGACTGAATTCAGCGCTCCGATTGCCATGCAACCAGGCCCTTGCTCTGAAGCTCCTTTTTGCCCCACTCCCCTTTTCCTTCTGAGAAGATATGAAGTTAGTAAGTGGTGGAAGGTTTCTTTTCTAACTATGATTCAAAAAGAAGCTTAGCCACAGAACAGGTGAGTGCTACTGCCTTAGAGAACAACTTGTAGAGACATGCCCCAGATAGATCCACCCCGGATTTTTCAAAGAAGGCAACTCCTTCATCATGTATTGTAAGGCCTTCCAAGTTCAAGAAGAAGCCATCTGCTTCCACATTGATCACCTGACTCAAGGTACCCAGCAGGCTCCCTGTGAGTATACCAGAGACTTCACTACAACATGACCCACAGGGGTAACCCAGGACCTGTCCACAGGCTGAAACTTGTGACTCTTCTGTTTGCCCTAAGTCCAGAACTTCTTTTCCTGGGAGCAGCAGTGAAGCTTCAGGACAATGGGTACGACGGATTGCTTGTTGCGATTAACCCTCGGGTACCCGAGAATCTGAACCTGATTACAAACATGAAGGTGAGTGGCAGTTATGCGGTTGATACCATGAGCCCATTGTTCAGACCTCTTACCGGTTTTAGGAAGTTAATTCCACCAGGTTTGAGCTTGAACAGTACAGAGGCCAGTATTTCTTAAAGACAATGCTGATAACATGATGTGTGCGCTCTGGCTAGATCACACAGTTGTGTGCAGTCCCCACTCATAGAGATTTCTTTTATCTTTTTATTAGTCACCACCTGTTGGCTTCAGGGTTTGGTCATAGTTTTCATATGTGACTGTTCTCTGGAGAACAGCTTAGAGAAATTAAAGCTGGCTTTGGTGAAAGAAAGCCGGATGTTTGAATGACAGAGGAGGATGGGGGTGCGTGTCAAGATCATCCTATGGTGTCTCATTTCAAGAATGAGAATTCTCAAGGGAGAAAGTCGATGTAGGCTGCCAGAGAGAAATATTCTTTGTTTTCTCCCAGTGTTCTATAAAATAAATGACAGTTTTTACTACAGCATGGTATGGGAGGATCATTACCTAAGAGCTTCTTTGTTAGGTATTGCTTAAAGTGAAAATAATATCCTTAAAAGGTACAGGCCTGAACATGCCCATAGGTGTGACATAAAGATGTGTTCAGTAAAAGCTTAAAACCCTTTCAGAAACTTGGGGAAACCATGAGGGCAAGCTCCAACACATAATCAGTGTACTAAAAATCTCTTTCAGGTAGCCATTTGATGTCTTTTCCAAGGAAACCTTCATGGGTTCATTCAAAATGAATGTTGTTCATTGTTGTTTATGTGTTTATGTGTCATCAGAGAATCAAGGATTTACATGTGGCAGTGTTCCTTCTGTTTGGTTACAGGAGATGATAACTGAAGCTTCCTTTTACCTGTTCAATGCTACCAAGAGAAGAGTGTTTTTCAGAAATATACAGATTTTAATACCTGCCACTTGGACAGCTCATAATTATAGCAAAGTAAAACAAGAATCCTATGAAAAGGTAAGGGTTTTGAATTCTCTTAAAAGAGCCTAATTCAGTTTAAGGGTGAAAAACTTTCAAAATATACTTTGTCATTGGTAGTGAGACAGAGGTATGCTACTGCAAAGAGTATTGCTGAGAAAGTGTGTGGACCTCATCCCATAGACCTTTATAAATGGTTATGAGGAAGAAAAAATGGAAACACAATAATAAGTGTAAATTATTCAGTCACAAACTCAGTCATGTGCCATTGATGAATCTGCTTCTCAGGCCATCTCTATTCTGTAATGCACAAGATCCCGGCTAAGTTTTTAGTCAAGGAAAAAGTTGGGTTTATGCTGCTGAGGGTGAGCAGGGACCAGCACAACCCAACTCTGGTGGTCTTCACTTGTCATTGTGCTGGGAACCGTCAAGTCCATGCGGAGAGCCATCCATGCATGTAAAGATGCAGCTGTGGTCAAAATGAGAATGTTTTGCCTTTAACTAAGGCCTACATGCTGATTCAAAGGAGAATGGAGAGAAGCGAGCCAAAAGGCTGTGATAAAGAGAACGTGGCTCCATTTTCTTTTTCTAACAACAGAATAACTTAACCTTGAAGACCATTAATAAACTGCAGATGATATGTAAATATTCATTGGTATGCACCTATAAAATGCTAAAGCACTTTGAAAATTACTATGAATAAGAGTCCTGCGTGTATGAGAGAAGAGCTAGCAGCGGAGCATGGAGAGGAGCTCAGGGCTTCAGCAGTGGAGGGGCTTGGTGTCTGTAGCTACAGTGCCATCAGGAGAGCTAGGGCATGGAAAACGTGTCTTTTATTTTAATCTGTGTCACTTGGTTTAAATTTCCTCAGACTGTTTTAATTCTTAGCTCTCCTTTGAAGATTGTCTCAGAAATTGAATGGCCTAGAAATGTAGACTGTAGCCCAAAGGCATGAAGATGTTGAGTGGCTTACAAAAGCATTTGGTTTTTCATCAGATAGAAGCATTTGACAGTGCTTGGCATGAAGATAAGTAGGGAACTGGAACAAACTGGGGAAAATCTAGTGTTTATTAAGCTGCCATTAAGTACCTTCAATTGAGGCATGTATATATATTGTATATATATATATATATATATATATATATATATATATATATTGCCTATGCAATCTCATTAATTGCTATTATAAAAAATTAGTAATTATGTTCACATAAGTTAAGGACTTTGTTCCATGCAAATAATTAATAATTACTGACAGTTTGAATATCTATCTAACTTCAAAAACCACACTGTTTGCACCAAGCTATGCAGTCTCTATAAAGATTACATTCATGAATTTGACCTTCAGTACAACTGAGATACAACTGGGTACCCTGATCCTATGAGAAGTATAAGTATAGCATATGTAGTATGATCAAATGTCCTGGATACAATTTTCCTTAACATCACAATGTCAGTTAAGCAAACATTTAGTGAAGGATACTACTCTATCTGATTACGGAAATGAAAGATGGGGATACAGTGTACAGAAGAGGCTCCACAAACAATGTCCTGCTGCCCGCACTGATAGACTAACCATGGAGAGTTCACTGGAAACTGCTGTAACTCTTTACTGTGCAGTCCTGGATGATGTGTAAATACTAATAAATGTTCTTGATTTTATGGCTTTTATAGTGTCATAATATCACAATTTTACAGTGTTGATGTCTGAGAATATTTTGTTCTGGAAAATGGGAGGGTAATAAAGGAGAGAAAGAAGTTCCATGGAAACTGGCTAAACTCTTAAAGGAGATCTTTCTGAAAGTGCCAAAGAATTTAGCTAATAATTAGCTATCGGAATATCTAAACTCTAACCTCAAGTTATTCCTTTTGCCTTTAATCTGTTTTAAAATTGTGTATAATTACATACAGTAAAATTATAGCTTAAATTTCTTTAAAATGTATTTGTTTTAATTTAGGCAAATGTCATAGTGACTGAGCAGAATGGGGTACACGGGGATGATCCATATACGCTACAACACAGAGGGTGTGGAAAAGAGGGGAAATACATCCATTTCACCCCTAGCTTCCTGCTAAATGATGAGTTAGCAGCAGGATATGGCTCAAGAGGTAAGTTCCGATCATAAAAACACAGCCTGTGACAGCACAGTATTTTGTGTTTGGTACAGAAGAGAATTCATACAACCCTCAGCCTGTCAAGGACTTTCCGTTTGAGGTGGAGGCAGATCAAAGGCACATGGAAGGAGAGGGGCAGAATGAGCCAGGAAGACCAAAAACCTGGTTAGATAGAGTGGTGCTCTGAGAATTCAGTGAAGGTAACCAAGCCAAGGGTTGTCGGGACATGTCTTACATAGGAGGAGTTAACAGCATTTTGATTGGTGAAAAGAAGAGAGAGTAGCAGGAAGCATGTGAAAAGTACTGAGGTTGCAGAGGAACTCAGGGCTTTTGAGGGAAACATTAGACCCCCTGACAGGGCACAGGCTGGGCATGCAGGGAAATGCCAACATGTACCCAACAACCAGGTGATAGGAGCGCTGCGGAATATTCACACTATGAAGTCCCCACTGAAGGCTCTCATCGTATGTATGGGAACAACAGCACCATATCGTTTTCAGAAGGTGGATCTGTCCATGTGCATAACTGGGCTTGCTAGAGTCAATGAAGGAGAAGCTGGATGTGGAAGGGTACAGGAGAACACTGCAGCGGCGTGCTCAGGAGGCTTGAGTTGAGGCAGCAAGGTGGAAAGGACCAGAGCCTGGAATACAAGCAACAAGGATTTCCCATGCCCCAAGTGCTCTGCCAATTTCATTTAAAATATTTTCTTATGAAGTCTGAGTGGCCTTAAATGCTGAGAATTCCAGAAAGGAGTTCTGGCTGGGTGGGTGCAGAGTGGAAGACCAGAGGTGTGCATGGACGTCAAGAACAATGAAGGCATTGGGAAATGGGTGCAGTGAAAAGGGGAAGCCATGGGTCTGGGTTAGGCAAGATGATGGTGAGGAACACTGGACTGTCCTACAGATGTCTAACTGTGGTCAGATATCAGTGTCTGACACTTAGGAGAAAGATTACAGTCACCAGCCCCAGCCTGTAGACTGCGGGACCATGTGTGAGGTCTGAAGGAGATACTAGTAAAACAGGTCAGGCAACCCAGTGCTACCTTCAATCTGCAATTTTAGTTTTGGTTCAATTTTAAATAGGGCCTTTAAAAGATTTTTATTTTTTATGAAATCTAAAACTAAGTACATTTTGTTATTCCTGCTTAGCAAGCAGGAGGTAAAGCAATCTATCAGGATGTTTTACAAAATTCTTAAAAATTAGATTTTTTCCCCTCTCTGGCAACTAACCATGAGGTTGAAGTTCTCTGGCCCTGCATACGACTTCATCCGTGTCTCTAGATTCATGAGTCAGCACATACTTTCCCTTATTACTCTCAGCTGTGGCTGTTTCCTCCCAAGATGCAAACATTGCACAATGTGCCACAGCCTGGCTCAGTCAGCAGGCAGTCCCCGAGTTACAGAACCTAAACTAATTCAGAAAAAGGGAATGTGTGCTTTGGTTAGACAAGGGTGTTGACCTGGAAAGCTTCCATAGAGAACAATTAACTGCGGAGCTGACCTTGGAAAGAAATCTAAGATTAGAGAGGACAAGATAAAACTGTGAAGGATTTGATGTTAAGAATGAGAATTTCCAAGAACAAGGGATAGAGAAAGGGTAAAGGAGAAAGGAGCATCCAGGCAGGAGTGGGGATGCTGTGATTTTTTCAGACTCTTCCTTCTTCCCTGGTTTCAGTCATTGATGTAGACTAGGGAACGGCCCACAGGAGAGCAACTAAACTTAGAAAAGTTATTTGATTGCAAAGATGTACTTCTTCTTCCCTCTAAGTCCTTAATCTACTGGGCTGCTTGCATGAAGCTAAGGAAAAACTTGTTAGACAGCTTCAGGGGGAGGAGAAGGTGGGACTCCTTGCCACTGCTGCCAAGTGGATGATGCCTCACAGTCCTGGGAGCAAACATTTTCCTGCTGCCTTTTCTATGATGGCAGAGGATGAGGTAGGAGAAGAGGGAGGAAAAGGACCAAAAATCTGACTTCAACTCTTTGGGACAAGAGTGTAGTCAGGTGATACTGCATCTACGTTGATTAGCAAGGCCCATTTGCTGAGATTTTAGGCACTCAGAAAGCCAAAACTCTCTCTTCTACAGGCAGGGTGTTCGTCCATGAATGGGCCCATCTCCGCTGGGGTGTGTTTGATGAATATAACCACGACAAGCCATTCTACATGAATGGGCGGAATGAAATTCAAGTCACAAGGTCAGTGTTTTCTCTCATGTTTAAAATTCACTACTGATTGAATACATTGAAAATTTCAAAAACTAGAAGGGCTTTAGAATAATTTTTACAGTAAGTGGCTGCACACACTGACATTTGCTGCTATAACCTCAGCACTAGAGAGACAGAGGCAGAATGTGTGCTACAAATTCAAGGTCAGCCTGGTCCACACTGTGGGGTCCAGGTCAGCCAGGGCTACACAGCGAGACTTTTTCACAAAAGGCTAAAAACTAAAATGATAGATAAGAAAATAGGCATTTTTATCTTGATTTAGCTATTATGTTATTAAAAAATAAATAAAAATAAGTTAATGGCAAGTAAATATTAGTAAGGAATAAATTCTTCTTTTTTATCCTTACTTTTTATTGAATTTTAAGATGGACAAATATTTATGTGATTTAAATATGAACAATGGAAAGTCGTGTTCCTCAGCATCTCGCTGGCCACCGTCTTCATTCTGCTTCCTCCGTGAACTATAAACAGTTATGTTCTTCACCATCTACCACTGTCTCCTTTCTATTTCTAGGAACAATATTGATTCAGTTCTTATTTATTTTGCCTCATCAAGAAAATTCAAATAAATATGAATATATATTTCCTCCCCCTTTTAAAAATAATTAGTGATCCATTGTGTGGTTACGCCATAACTTATTCAATCAGTCCCCTCTTGTTGGACATGGAGATTAATAGCAACGTTTTTTGGTTGTCATTATCACTGTCCCTCACAGCATCATACATGTGCTATTTCATATTTATGCATGGAAATCTATATATCTAAAAAGTCTTCCAAGAATTCTGGGTCAGAGAGCATCCTCAGCTGGTAGACATGCGTCATCAGTATCACTTCTAAATGGCACCATTTCTCACTCAGATAGCAATGTTCAGAATATTTTAGTAAAGACGGAATATTTCCAAAGTTGTCCATTACAAGTTCACTCTCCTTACATCCAATGGAGCACTGGCTCAGTATGTTGCTGCCCCTGTCCTTCCTTGGTCCTCCCTCTCCTAGAGTCCCTCTGAGCTCCGTCCTGCTTTGTCTCACTCTGGTTGCTAAAGGTTTTGGCAATAAAAACTCCCTTGTCCAAATTCAAGGCTATAAAATAAAACAGAGAGACTGTATTTCTAAGTTAATAAATTTCTGTAAGAGAACATTTAAAAATTTTTATACGTATCTACTGAGCTATAATCCTTGAAACAAACTATTAGAAAAGATAATCAAGAAAAAAACATATTTCTAAAAATACCCAATTCCTAGTTTCTCATTCCATTTTTTTTAGGTGTTCATCTGACATCACTGGAGTTTTTGTGTGTGAAAAGGGCCTTTGTCCCCAGGAAGGCTGTATCATTAGTAAGCTTTTCAGAGAAGGATGCACATTCCTCTACAACAGCACCCAGAATGCAACTGGATCAATAATGTTCATGCAAAGTTTATCTTCGGTAAGTATGTCCTTGGAATGACAAACTCCTACAGGCTGCCATGTCTTTCTAAGACACACAGATATGCTTGATGTAGGTAAATATCAGAATAATTAAGAGTCACTATACTAGAGTGTGTGGGGGGGGGGCTACAGTTAATTTAGTCTTTCTCCTACATATTAAAAACAAAAAGAACAAAATCTGTCTCCTCCAAATGATAATAAATACAGATTGCTTTTAAAAGCAAAAATCCACTTTCCAGGGAGAGTATTTAAAAAGAGGACTTTTGAGGCCACAAAACAAGCTGCCCATGTGGTGGCATTCCTTTCTTGTCTCATTTCATAGGAAGAGGTATGAGGCTTGCAAGAATGATGGAACAAATAACTGTATTCCTCTCACTTAAGGCTCTCTTTCTTTTGTTTTGAGAAAATCTAGAACTTCAAAAGATAAGCAAGCTAGCCCAGGAAAGTGAACTGATCCTCAGCTTTGCACCTAAGTCTGGTTAACTAGTATTTCATATAACTCTAAAAAGATGAATGTGTAACTCCATTTTAAACCTGATATTTGCCAGGCAGTGGTGGTGCATGCCTTTAATCGCAGCACTTGGGAGGCAGAGCCAGGCAGATCTTTGTGAGTTCGAGGCCAGCCTGGGCTACAGAGTGAGTTCCAGGAAAGGCACAAAGCTACACAGAGAAACCCTGTCTTGAAAAACAAAAACAAAACAAAACAAACAAACAAAACCCTGATATTTAAGAGTAATCTATTACAGAATTTCTCTCTGGCCAGTTCATTTTCTTTAAGAAGGATGTCACACACATGACAAACTGTCCCAACTGTCACCAGAACCTTGCACTAGGAGAAAGCATAAAGTTAGAAAGGAAGCACTATTGGTGAAATTATTAAGGCCACTCCACATAGTTAAAAGGAAGATTTATTTAGTGGGTGACTTACAAATGAAGGGATAGGTAGATTGCCGGGGTCTGGGGAAGGTGTATCGCAGTCCAGCGGTGTTCTCTGGCACTCTGCTCAGTCAACCTCCACTGTCCAGGGTCCAGGAACAGAGAGAGTGCTCGCCCATCCGGGTCTCAGGTCTCCAGATGCCTCCCTTGGCCCTGCCTCGTAGGTGTGACAGTTGCCCGAGTCTCAGTGGGGGTTGGAACTTCCAGATCCAAGCTGGAATAGCTACCCACTACAAGGCAGTTGGCTAGTTGACAGGTTTAATGGGACCAGCCTGTGTGGCTTCATTTGTCTATTGCACTTTCCAAAGACCTGAAAGTCATTATCTGTAAATCTTCTCTCTGCTAGGCTGGGAGTGTGGTAGGTACATGTCTTCCTGGAGTATTCTCCCTGTTCCATGGCTGACTGATCGTGCTTACATTGGATCTGTCTTTCTCTATCTGTCCCCTTTCCCTCTCCCTCCCTCTTCTTTCTCCTTCCCCCACTCCCATCTTTTCTTCCTTTTTTCCTTCATTTTTCTAGCTTGTTTCTTCAGTCTGCTTTTAATCGATGGTAGGAATCCTTTGCAACATGAACTTGACTGTTTCTAGTTCTTGCCTTTATCCATTCCGTTTTCTAATTTATAACTTTTATACCTGGCCTGAACCCAGTTTTAGATATTTGACCCATGTTATTTGTGAGTAGATAAAATCTTGGTAACCCTTTGCAAAAGCCTACTGGAATATATCCAGTCACAAAAATTTCAAAATCCCCTTGCTACAGTCACGAAATGTAGGGGTAAAAAGCACTAAAAGAAGCAGCACCGGTGTGCTCCGGACCCTACCCCACTGAAAAACCAAGCGGGTGTTACCCAGCTAAGCTTCCTCCTCTGTGGAGTCAGAGATGGGACCAGGGAACCTATAAAGTTCTTTCAAACTCTAAGCTCCCGTGCCTCTAATCTTTGTTCTTTGTAGGGCTGGAGCCACTGAGAATAGACAGGCATTCCCCTGCAGTGCCACAACTATAACTTGAAAGGGGGGATGCTTGCAAAGGTTGATTACCATTAAATGATTTACATTTAGATTTCTAAATGGGAAAAGGGTTTCAGGAAGTAGATTTAAGTTGTTTTGCCCTCATCTTACCCTCACAGAGATCAATATTTGAACTAGATCAGTATATGTTGACTGATCCGTGGAATAATTGCAGTGTCACATAATGGAATTCCACAGAATGGGCTGGCCAGGATAACATCTCTCAGGGTGTTTCTTCAACACAGTATCATGCAAGGGAGGAGAAGGAGTTGTTCTGTTTAAGACTGAAGTATATATACACAGTCTGCTCTGTTTTCTCAACGCAAACAAACTTCTACAAGAGATTGCTTCTGTGACCACAGGGTGCTACTACTTCAAGCAAAAGGTGTCAAGGGTTGTTTGCAAACTCGCTGCTGCCACTTTTGAGAAAAGGAAGCCATGATCTTGCTGCCAGCTCTGTCCTCCTTTTCCCTGTGGCCTAGGGAGGACACAAGTGTCTCTGGTCTGGGAAGGATGCTTTTTGTTCTTTTCCAGGTGGTTGAATTCTGTAATGCAAGCACCCACAACCGTGAAGCCCCAAACCTACAGAACCAAGTGTGCAGCCTCAGAAGTACCTGGGACGTAATCACAGGCTCCTCTGACCTTAATCACAGCCTCCCCATGAGTGGGGTTGAGCTTCCTCCTCCTCCCACGTTTTCCCTCATGCAGGCTGGGGACAAAGTCCTCTGCTTAGTGATGGACGTGTCCAGGAAGATGGCAGAGGTAATGCACTGGTTCCTAAGGACCGAAAACCACTCTTTAGTTTCCCCTATCAGGTTTTAGCTCTGTTTTTTTTTTCCAGTGTATGAAGCATGAAGGCACAAAAGGTTTTGAAGAGTCCAAGGTATCTTATTTTCTTGGGAAATGGGTAGGGCAAACTCAGAATGAGGCTCAGAAATTATGGTGACATAAGTGAAATCCACACAGAGTCCCTAACCCCATTAGCAACCCAATGTTGCCGCTAATTGTAACATTTCTCCCCCAAGACCCTTTTTTAAAACCTAGATACAGTTTAAAGCTGTTGCCTAGCCACACTCTAGTGACTCTTAGAGGCTGTAATTGGGAAAGACAGCACAACCACCATGATGAAAACAAAAGCTATTGAATTCCTACTCAGTCCCTGTGCTCTGTGACGAAAGGAACCAAAGCTACAAAGAAGTAATGTTTTCCATGCCCACATAATTACAAAAGGATGAGGCAGAATTCAAGGACCATGTCTCACCCACCATACTAACCCTCTTCCAAGCTTGTAAGAAAAGTAATATTTGGGGTGGAGGGCACTAAATTAAAATGTTGTCTAGTATGAGGTATCTATGAGACATTAGATTGGTGATGGGTCCTGAGAAGTGTGAGAGGTGGGACTGAATAACAAGGGAGATATCAAGAAGCAGAGGTCACAGCCATCTATGAGCAGCTGCTCACTCCCTTACCTCCCTTCAGAGCCATCAAAAAAGTGACCTTAATGAATTAGTGGTAGCATTATCCCTATCCTTGATTAGTGCATGTCATGTACATATCAAAGGCAATCCTTTAGCAACTATAATAACCAATAAACATAATATTATGCTCACTCTATAGATAAAGTGCCCAGCCTCAAGTGGCCACCATAGCAGAGGGATGGACACTGGTGTTGCAGACTACCACACCTCTCTATTACCAGATCCCTTTGTAATATTTCTGTTCACTTGGACTGAGCTAAAAAAGAATCAGTTACAAACCTGTTGTCAATTGACATCATACATTGTTAAATTCTGAGTTGGAGTGAAATGCTGAGAGTATGTCATCTTAATTGTGTATAGTTCCTCAGCACTCTCTCCTGCACATCCAACACACAATTAGCTGAATTGTGTGTTGAGTACACAATTAACTGAAAAAAAATGTTCTAGCACTATGCCACACTTTACAACGCACAGAACTGCAGTGTCTGTAAAGAATGCACAGACACTTTTGCTAATTGAATCCTTCATCATCGTGGGTCTACCAATCAAATGTCACTTTCTCCTTTTCTGTCTCTTTTGTGGACCCAGGCAGACAGACTCCTTCGACTGCAACAAGCAGCTGAATTGTACTTAATGCAGGTTGTTGAAGTTCATACTTTTGTGGGCATTGTCACTTTTGATAGCAAAGGAGCAATCAGAGCCCAGCTGCAACAAATTAACAGTGCCGATGACCGGAAGCTGCTGGTTTCCTATCTGCCCACCACCGCGTCCACGGAAGAAGGAGTGGACACCTGTGCAGGCATTAAAAGGGGTTTCGAGGTAGAGGCCCCTAAGCTCAGTTGCCGTCACTACCTGCTTTTTCATTTTGAATCTCAGGCTTGGGGCTTTTTTGTTTTTGTTTGTTTGTTTGTTTGTTTGTTTTTGGAAACGGGGTGTTCTCTTGTAGCATGGTCATAGCATCCTCAGCTGTTAGAGAGGAATGATGAATCATTCCTAAAGTCAGGACCCGTTTCTTACTCCCATTGCACTCCCTCAGCTTAACAAAGCAACCAACATAAGAATGAATTAAGAGCTGCTTGTTGAAAGAATGAGTAGATAAAAAAGTACAATGAACTTGGCTAACGGACTTAAGCACCATCTAGAGTCTTTCCAAACTATCCCTGTTTACTCTGAAGTGGCCCCAGCTGTGGCAATTGTTATCCTTGTATGTTTCAAGGCAAAATGAGCATTTTTGGTCTCTGCCTACAGACATGCCAGATTTCAAAGATAAGAACCAAGAGGGTCTGAGAAGATAAATAAGTTAATATTCACATAGATGAGTGGTGGTATTGTGTTCCCCAAAATATTGTGCACCCTAACAAACTTATCTGGGGTCAGAGAACAGATCAGCCACTAGACAGACATAGAGGCCAGAAAATGGTGGCACTCACACCTTTAATCCTATCATTTGGGAGGTAGAGATCCATCTGGATCTCTGTGAGTTTAAAGCCACACTGGAAACAGCCAGGCATGGTGACTCACGCCTTTAATCCCAGGAAGTGAGCCTTTAATCCCAGGAAGTGATGGCAGAAAGCAGAAAGGTATATAAGGCGTGACGACCAGGAACTAGAGCTGGTTAAGCTTTGAGACTTTTGAGCAGCAGTTCAGCTGAGATGCATTTGGAGACTTCCAGTCTGAGGAAACAGGATCAGCTGAGGAATTGGCGAGGCGAGGTGGCTGTGGCTTGTTCTGCTTCTCTGATCTTCCAGCGTTCACCCCAATAACTCGCCCCTTGGTTTGTTTTTATTAATAAGAACCATTTAAGATTCATGCTACATAGACATGTGGACCCCCACACCAGTGCATACACACACACACACACACACACACACACACACAAGACCAGATGTATGCTTCAGAATTGGCAGAACTGATCTAAATCAGCATCTGATAGAAAGCAAGACATCAGCTAGCACTGTTGCCGCCCCTAGGCGACAATTGTTCAACATGAGCTGCCCACTGACACTGCTTGATTGAAAAACAGGAGGTGGCAATGGAGCTCAGTGGCAGAGTGAATGGGACTTTAGATTCAGTCTCAGGCATGCCAAGTAACAAAGACAAACCCATGATGCCCGCATTTCACGTCTTGTGGTTCTGATGTCACTGATCTGGGGTGTAGCTAAGGTGGAGAACCACTGCTCTCAGCCCTCTTACTGGTCACTGGCTGGATCTCACAGGCAAGGGTCTCATATCATAATTGTACAATATCTTCTCCGAGGCAAAGTCTGTACAACTGTGCTGTGATAGAGTGAGGTGAGGATCAACTGGGAGGTGGTCATAGAACATAGGGGACCTTGAAGAGCTGTAGGTAACACTGGTAGCAATTGTACATGAGAATGAATTCCTCTATTAAGTCAGACAATTTAAATCACATTTCCTTCTAAGTAACGGGTGGCTATCTATGTTCAGGTCATTGAGAAGAGGAACGGAAGAGCCGATGGCTCTGTCATGATACTGGTGACCAGTGGGGCAGATGAACACATAAACAACTGCCTGCTCACCGCCATGAGCAGCGGATCCACCATTCACTCCATTGCCCTGGGTTCCTCTGCAGTCAGAAAACTGGAGGAGTTATCACATCTTACGGGTAAAACCTCCCAAAGTGGCGTCTTTTAGAGCATACCCTTAAAGCTGAATGCACAAAGCTCAGCTATGAAACCCAGATTACATGTCTTAATTAGGAAAAAGGTGAGAGAAAGATTTCTCTTAAAACACACAAATCATTGATCAAACTAGCTAAAAATTTTCCCAATTTTAGAATGTTTTCTCTAGATTTGGAGTTTTGTACATCTAGTGAAAATAGTATTTTTATGATTTGTTAAAGCAGCCTGAGAATACATATTTGTGAAGCTAAAATCATATTGACTAACTGTAACAACTTCTAGAGTAGACACACAAACAGCATTATAAGATACATGTCTGCTTTCTTCTAGACAAGGCAAAGAATAATTTCATCTTACATTCCATAAAAATTAATCCAACAAGCCTGGTGTGGTGGCACATGACTTTAATCCCAGTGCTCAGGAGGCAGAGGCAGGTGGATCTCTGTGAGTTCGAGGCCAGCCTGGGATACAGAGTGAGTTCTAGGATAGGCTCCAAAGCTACACAGAGAAACCCTGTCTCGAAAAGCCAAAAAAAAGTTTAATCCAACAAATTGAAAATTAAGATTTATTGAAAATTTTTAAAATGGTGTTCTCAGAATATAATTGCAAATGCACAGCAATGCATTGACTAGCATTTAATCTGCATCATTTAGGAATTATTTTGGATCTAAGACTATACCCACTGAGTATCTCCTGAGTTCTTCGACAGTGGGCAGAACACTAAAGCCTGAGGAAACAGCCATGAACTTACACTGAAAATCACCTCCCTATGGCCACTTGCCTCATAGTGGTGTGAGATGTCATTCCCAATGAGCCAAGGACTCTCCTACCAACTCCAGACCATCACACTAACGTGGACACAGTGTGTCAGAGGAGATACAATCTTTATTTTATCTATCTATCTTAATAGTTGGCATTCAAATCATGTTTTTCAGGAGGTTTAAAGTTCTTCATTCCAGATGAATCTAATCCCAACAGAATGACGGAAGCTTTCAGTAGGATCTCTTCTGGAACGGGGGACATTTTCCAGCAAAGCTTACAGGTCAGAACCTCAGTCTTCTATGTGTAGAGGGGGCAGACCAGATGGACTGTACCATCCACATTTTCTTTGAATCTGTAACTCTCTGTGTGCAGAAGGTTCTAATGAGCTTCTTGGTGTCCCTAGAGCCTAGAGTCATTTTACCTCATGTCTGTGTGGCTCATTTCCATAGTTCCTTTCTGTAATGACCATTTCAGCTTTCCAGGTCCATAAAACGACTTCTTAATGACTGAAAATGCAGCTAGAGGTAAGGTAGAGTAGGGTGGGGTTGGGTAGGGTTGGATAGGTGGGGTGGGGCAAGATCCAAAACAAAAATAAGAAACTGTGTTTTCATTTTTTCAGTTCCATTAATTTCCCCTCAGCCACACTTTGTTTCACTCTGGCTGCTTCCACATCTTTACAGTTTCTCATTTTTATGAGGAATATTAATTATTTCATAAAGTTTTAGAAATTTCTATATCTTTACCCTGCTGTGTGTGTGTGTGTGTGTGTGTGTGTGTGTGTGTGTGTATTTTATTTTGATACAGGATTTACATGGTTTAGACTGTATGTAGCCCAGGCCAGCCTTGAACTGCTGGTCTGCCTAGTTCCATCTTCTAAATATAGGAATCACAGGCATAAGTCACCAGCCTCAGTTTTAGATTGCCTCTTAATTAGCACAACTTATTAGATTTGGGGCACAAAAATGTCGTCTAATCAAGCTACCATTAATTTTTTTCAGTTTAAATACTTTAAAGAGTTTAGGCATAACTGAATAATGTTTCAAACAGAATTTCACCTGCAATTTCCTCACAGATGGTGAGTAAACCTGCCAAGTTATGCTTGATGTAAACAGTGAACTCAGTGAATTATTGTCAGGAAATATTTAACACGCAGCTGATATATGCACAGTAAAGATGGTAATAGTCCCACCACTAGAAGTCAAATACATGCCCTAAGAAACACTGTAATCAAGTGATCAAAGGTCAAAGATAAAGTGAAGATTCATAAAAGGGAAACACGCATCACAGAAGGTTTCCCAGCCTGGCAGACAGTAGACATCTGGACAGAATCTCTATAGGCCTCCAGAGATAGTCTAAGTGCTAATGAAAAACTCTGCCCACCGATAGTAATTTACCTAACAAAACTGTTCTTTAGGGTAGCCCACTAGCCCAGGCTGGCCTCAAACTCTCAGCAATCCTCCTCCATCAGCTTCCAAATGCTAGGACTACAAGCGTGCGCCATTGTGCTCAGCTAGCCAACTGAATTTTGACCAAAAAGGGCGCAAGTATACAGTGAAGAAAGAACAAACGTTTCAATAAACGTTGCTAAAAAAGACTGGATGTTCCCAGGCAGAAGAATGAAAGCAGACCCCTATCACTCAGCAATTTCAAAACCCAAGTCAACATCGATAAAGTTCTTCCTTGTAAACTTGACATAGAAGATAACATGGTAGAAATTGTGCAGCACTTGAGGATGAACAAGGGTGTTTTTGTGGGGGAGATGGGGACAGGGGATAAGATCCTCAAAGCATAAGAAATAAAGAAATAATGAAAATCAACTAATGGTGATTACATCAAACTAAAAAGAAGCTTAGCAAAGGAAACAATCAGCCCAACACAGGCAGAGGCCATGGAAGGAGGCAGCATTTAAAAACTGTGCTTCTAATGAGTGGCCAATATTCAAAATAGATGGAACTCCAAGGACTCTATAGCAAAAAGCAAAAGTATCCCAGCTTTTAAAAGTGGGCAATAAGCTGGATGTGGCAGTGCACTCCTTTAATCCCAGAACTCCAGAGGCAGAAGCAGGAGGGTCTCTGTGAGTTGCAGGCCAGCCTGGTCTACAGAGCAAGTTCCAGGACAGTCAGAGAGCTACATAGTGAGTCCATGTCTCAAAAAAAAAAAAAAAAAAAGAAAGAAAGAAAAACAATCAAAACAACAACCAAAAAACCCCAACGAGAACTGGGCAATAAACCCAAGTAGACAGTTTTTAAAAGGAGACGTACAAATAGTCAACAGATCAAGCAGATGTTTTTCAAAAAGAAACTTACAAACAGCCCATAGGTTATGAAAAGATGTTTAAAATAACTAATCATCAGAGTAATAAAGATTTAAAACCACATCGAGATATCACTTGTTCCAGGAAAAATGGCTAATGCCAAAAAGACGGAAGACGACATGCTGGTGAGAGTGTCATGCTGTTGACAGGAATGTGAGTGGAACCCTGAAGGAGAATATCATTAAGTCTCCTCACAAAACAAAAATGCAACCATCATACAATTTTTAAAACTGTTTTTTTTAATTTCTTACTAGAACTTGTAAAAACATAAAGATATAGTTATACGAATGAAAACCCTTTAAACATATCTACAAACACAATCTTCTGAGCGCTCACCATCATAACTGGCAGTGTAAAGCCAGTACTTGTTTCACGGGAGCTGCAGGAGAACAGCTGCACCACTTTTGAAGGGTGATGGAGCCGACTGGGTGTGCAGCCAGCACAAGGACAGACCAGCTGCCTGCCAGGTGCAGGCTCCTGTTTAATCCCCAGCATCACAAGAAAACAATCAAACAGATGAACAGTGAAGCCAGGCTTGGGGGCATGAAGTTATAATCCCTGTATTTAGAGATAGAAGGATCAGCAATTGAAGTTTAGCCTGAGCTACTCGAGACCTAGTCACACACAAACAAATATAATAATGCATTGTACTTGCACTAACTGTAAGAAGGTATTTTATAACTAGTTATGCAATGTACAATATTTTGCTTTGATCTATATGTGTACAATATGTATTGCCTATTCATTTTTTCATTATAAACACAAGGCAAAAAAAGGAAATGTGATGTGTTCACCAGAAACTTCCTCTTTGACAGCTTGAAAGCGTGTGCGAAACTGTGCAACCCCAGCACCAACTTTTAAACTCTGTGACGGTGGATAGCGCTGTGGGCAACGACACAATTTTTGTAGTCATGTGGCAGACCAGTGGTCCTCCTGAGATTATATTATTGGATCCTAGTGGAAGAAAATACAACACCAGTGACTTTGTCATCAATTTGGCCTTTCGGACAGCAATCATTCAGTTTCCAGGAACTGCAAAGGTCAGTGTAGAAGCCTGTTCACAACTGATGGTGCTCAGGCGAGTGTAGAGCTTGCAAGTGCGTCACATGCTTAAATGTGTTGTGTAAGGAAAGGTGCTGACATGTCAAAACATTATAAAAATATTTTTTGTGGATGTTAAAAATTTAAGAGGAGCAATCAAAGCATGTCCACAGTGTTAAGTACTAAATAAAACTGTTACGTTCACAATGGAGATCAATGTTTCTCTACAGCATTAGCAGTTTTTTTGAAACCTGTATCTTTCTTTATAAGAGATATCCAGGCTGGGCAGTGGTGGCACACGTCTTTAACCCCAGCACTTGGAAGGCAGAGGTAGCAGAATGAGTTCCAAGAAACTCTGTCTCAAAAAAACAAAAAACAAAAACAAAAAAGAAAGGAAGGGAGAGAAAGAAAGAAAGAAAGGAGGGAGGGAGGGAGGGAGGGAGGGAAGGAAGGAAGGAAGAAAAGAAAAGAAAAAAGAGATCCATATAAATATAATTTCCTATATGTTTGGGAGCAGATCTATATAGACTTTATAATATTACTAATAAAATGTGTAAATTTTTTAGTACCTACTATGTTCTGGGTCTTGCACTTAGAATAAAACGCCCTGATTAGGACTAAGCACCAGGTACCGCTAGAACTTACATAAGGATGGGAATTAGGAAGCTCCCTAGCAATGAGGACATCATCATGGAAATACAAGAGACAAGAGTCCTGAAGTAGGTATGGCATTCTGGGCACAGGAAATAGATCATGGGAAGGCTCAAAGACAAAGCGGAGCTGTTAGTAATTCAAGATGGAAGAACCTGAGAGCAGCACATGGGCGGAGAGTGTGAGTGATGGGAGGAGAGGGAAGCGGAGAGGCCCAGTAGATAAGCAACAAGGGCTGTTCAGGACAGCACCGAGAGCAGGGGCTGGACCACTGGACCTCCACAGGAGGCTGGGAGCCAGCATGAGAATCCCGCAGACCTGACTCCTCATCAAGCACTACCCTTATCTGCCCACTCCCATTATTGTGTTGTTTTAAGTCGGGGTCTTGCCGTGTTGCCCAGGTTGGTCTCAAACTCTCAGACTCAAGCATTTCTCCCACTTCAGCTTCCCAAATTGCTAAGTGCTGGGACGATACAGATGTTCCACCTGGCCCAGCTTGGCAGTGGCCACTTCACTGGATTCTGAGCTGGCGACCTCCAGTCTACCCATCAGCGGACCCTTCTGAGGCCTGCCTCCTGCTCAGAACTCTGTGGAACTTTTATGATGAAATGCCAACAATTTTGGTTGCCGCTGAGCAGTTTATGTCCGGCTTCTGCCCCAGCTCCTACCCTTCTCCAAAATACGTCCTTCTCTGTTCCTACTGAACTTTCCTGCAAATTGATTGTGCTCATCTCACATAAGGGCCATGGATGCCACCTCTCTTTCTTGCTCTCTTGCCTGACCCTTTCATCTGGATTGGAAACACCAAAGGGAACCTTTTTGATCTTCAAAGGCAGACAGTGAGAGGGGAGACCTGGGTGCTTGACTCAGGCCTCCCTGGGAGATGGCAAAGTGTGTGAGTCCCGTGGAGGAAGGCTGGCCACAGTGTGGTGGCAACCAAGCCTATCTTCTCGAGTCTCGCCTTGATCCATTGAGTTTCTGCTGATTCTTTTCTGTTATTTCCAGAGGTTAAACATTGGCAGCCGAGGAGTCCTAACAAAAGAGACAGGTGTAGCTTAGTCAAAAGGAACCACTCTGCCACATAGAAATCTCAGTCTTGTTTGTTCTTTCAAATACTGTTTCTTCCAGGTGGCTTGTATAAACAAGAGGATGACAGGGAGCAGAATTTTAAAAAAATCCCTAGGCATAGGCACTGTACCACTCTGAACTGTTCAGGACAGTAGGTTATGTTCTAGTGATATGGGTACTTTCTGTTCTTTGAAATTTCTGGGGCTTGAGAGGTATGGAACAAAAGAAGAATGTGCTTCTATATTAGCCCAGGATGTCGATGGATCCCACAATGGTCCACTTAATTTATATAATCTTACCAGTTCTAAAGAAGAACTATTTAACTTTGAATAAAGAAGTCCAGCTTGATCAGTGCAGAGTCCTTTGATGCTGAGGTGACTGTCATGATGTCCTAAAACTGGGAGGCAAAACGTGTTCTCAAGTCGATTCAGGATGTATTTACCCTCTGGAGCTGCCCGACAGTGACAGTGGCTGGCTAGATACCACTTAACTAACAGTACCTGTCCTAACGTCTTTTCTTGAATTGAAAAAAAAAAATTCAGCATCAATGAAGTGTTGATTTTTTTTTCTTCTTCACGATTAACAAAAACAACACCTTGTGTCGCAGCCTGGGCACTGGACTTATATACTGAACAACACACACCGTTCTCCTCAAGCCCTGAAAGTGACGGTGGCCTCCCGAGCCTCCAGCCTGGCCGTGTCCCCAGCCACTGTGGAAGCCTTTGCGGAAAGAGACAGCACCTATTTTCCTCAGCCGGTGATAATTTATGCGAACGTGAGGAAGGGTCTGTATCCTATTCTTAACGCCACTGTGGTGGCTACAGTCGAGCCAGAGGCTGGAGATCCCATTGTGCTGCAGCTTTTGGATAATGGAGCAGGTAAGGAGTAGTCGCACGGAGCTGCACTGTGGCGAAGTTCAGTAGGTGTTCCTAACCCCTGGGAAATCCCTTCACTCAACCGCTTTCCTAGTCAATCCTACCCGATCCTTGAGAGCTTGTTTAAAGAGGAACCCAGCTGCTCACATGACTCTTGATCAAAGATTGGCCTTCCTCTATTGGGAACGGTCCTCTGCTTCCACTGAACACACATCTTTGGGAGGGATGTACATGAGAGGATGCGGTTACCCACCCATTTTATCGATATAAAACTGAGGTGCAGAGGCAGTCAGCTTCAAAGCTGTCCTGGTACAGATCCTTAACTTAAACCCAAGTTCTCTGACTCCCTAGAGAAGGTTCTGTCCCCTTTCCTTCTGACAGTAGGAGAAGAGGTGGCCACCAGCCTGTAGGGTGGACAAATCTCCCTTTGCAATTTCTCAACAAAGGTAGACCATCTAAATGCCAAGATTTTCTTCTTCCATTGACAAAAAAAAAATATCTAAATCTTCATGAGAGAGGTGGTTACCACTTATTTTATATAAACAGACCCCTCAGTTTTCTCACGTGGCAGGGCTTGTCCCTCAGGTGGGGGGAGCTGGTTTTGGAGCACTTTAATAATAACACAATGTCAACATTTGGAGCCTGAGGTGTGATATGAGAACTGATATGACCATGGGATACGGCAGGCTGCTTACCCAGTGTGACAGGCTGCCTTGAGTGCACTGCTGTCCTGGGGTCCGGATCTTTCTGCCTAGAGCTGTGGACTCAACTCTGGATTGTGCTGCCCTCTGAGAATCACAATGCACGGAAGGGCAGGCTCTCAGAGTGTCCCTACGGCAAGGCACAATGGCAGGAACCAAAGCCTGCTAGCTGCAGCTCAGGGAACTCTTACACTCTAAATGGCAATGCCGTGTGTCCTCTATTGAGGAAATCCACTAGCTGCATGCTTTTTTATCAACAACCAAAGCTGTTTAGCATTTCATTCAAGACTATTAAACAAGCGCTTCTCTTGAACTTACAGGAAAATTTATGTTTGTGCATTTGAATTTATCTTTTGGAGACAGATTTTTATTTCAAAGGGGTGAATAAGTATGGCCATATGACCATAAATAATCTTAAGAATGCTTTGTTTCTGTAGAAATTACTATTAGTTTTTTAATTGTAAATATATTTTAGTACAATATATTCTGTTATTATTTTGGATCATAAGAAAGAAAGCTTTCAAGATGATTTTAAAGTGTTATCTCTCAAATAGGTGTAATGAGGTTGGATGCATTCAGAGTGATATGTTCATAGGTTATTCAGCTTTAGAAAACAACTTTTCAGAGACAAAGTAATCACAGGAAGAAATTATGATGCCATCTTATTTTAAACTGCATGATAATATCAAAAGTAGCTACAGTAACATATGCCAAGTTGGAAGTAATTTTGCAGAGATGGGGATATGAGGCCATTGCAGCCTACAGAGACACCATCTGCAGGAGGCAAAAAAAGCAATTCAGTTCAGATTCAACAGTCTGACACAAAGTGTCATTTTAGGCACATGTAAGCACTGCACAATTTGATGAAAACTTTTCTGGTGACAATGAACTCAAACCTGTGTGCACGACAAGGCACACATAAATCTCTTTGAGGAACAAAATAAGCTAAATAAAGATCAGACATGACTGACTACATTGAAACTCGTCATGAAGTACATGTGACAATCCCATAAAGAAAGTTTCTATAGACTGAGAAAAACAAACTTATGATAAGAGTCTGGGTGAGGGTCTAGCCACACAGACAGCACAAAGGTTACGAGGCTAGAAAGCACACCTGTTCCCAGCCTTCTGGGTGGATAACAGGTCTTTCATTCCTGGAAGGAACAATCTTATGTGTTTGACATTCTAGCTTCCCCTAGTGCTTATCAATGAGCACAGAGCTCTTTGCTGTCTACAGAAAGAAGAATACATATTTAATAACTCATTAAATATTAGCAACAACTCTGATGATGTGTTAACACAGAATGTTTGTCTATATGCACAGGTGCTGACGTTATAAAAAGGGATGGAATTTACTCCAGGTATTTTTTCTCCTTTGCTGTAAGTGGTAGATACAGCTTGACAGTGCATGTCCATCACTCTCCCAGCATAAGCACCCTAGACCACTCTGTTCCAGGAAGCCATGCTATGTATGTGCCAGGTTATATAGCAAACGGTAAGAACCATTTGCACTGTGAATGTGTGTAATATTATTTCATATGTGTGTGTGTGTGTGTGTGTGTGTGTGTGTGTGTGTGTGTGTGTGTGTAATTGGAAGATGGAGATGAGGGGGAGAGGATAAAGGAAGAAGTGGGGAGAGAGAAAGAAGAGAAGGAGAGACAAGGAGGCAGAGGCAGGACTGAGGGAGGGAAGAAGGGAAAAACCTGAGAGAGACATGGAATTTCTAAACCATGGTTAGGTCTGTGGCTACAGCTAAGTGGTAGAGCACTTGCCTGGCATGAACCAAGATTCAGTCCCCAGTAACTCTCTCTCTCTCTCTCTCTCTCTCTCTCTCTCTCTCTCTCTCTCTCTCTCTCTCAATTGACTGCTTCTTTCAATTCTTAATGATTTGTGGTAGAGAATACAGAAAATAAGCAGTTCCTACAGATTGATCCTCTCATTACTTTAGTAATTTATTCTGAATACTGTCTTGTGATTGTTTGGTTGCAATAACTAACAAAGATAGTCCTTACAATTTATTGGGTCCCATATTTTCTTTATAGAAACTTAGACAAAAGCAAAAAGTTGAAAGCATGATGCAAACAGCCCCAGAAATCAATGCAGGAAGTGAATTTCTGAATAAACATGAGCTTGGCTATTATAGGCAACTGATCAGAGGTTCTGCTACCCTTCAGATAAAAATGCCAAAATAAATAGGAGGTATACACTGTCTTTCTAGAAAAATATTATTTTAGTTCCTCTTAGGAAGCATCGTCCAAATAAAAACAGAAATCTGCTGTGCTGTGATGTCTCTAAAAGTAATCTCTGGGGCCATTTCTGATCATTTTTATTTCTAAAAATGGAGGATTTTGAGACAAGCTCTCTTCCTTGCACCCCCCTCTCATCTTGAGTGGCTTTGATTTGTTTTGTTTTTATTTTTGTTTTTGCGGTGTTGGGAATGGCCCTCAAACACTTTTGCACCCTGGGCATATGCTCCCTGGCTGAGCCACCCCCACCTCCCAGGTCTTCCCTCCTCCCTTCTGGAATGGCACTGCCTCTGCTTGAGGCCCAGCTCCTCCATTTACGGCTGTGTGACAGAGAGCAGCGTAACTCTGTGTCTCTCCATTTCATTAGCAATAAGTGTATGGCAAAATAATTCACCCTCCTCATTGCCTTGCTAGGGGAATGAAGTATTTAATACAGCAATATAATTTAAAAATACCTTGCCATAATAGACACACAGTGAATACCACTTACTATTATTAAAAAGCATTGCGAGATAGCTTCATTAATCCATATGGTTTTGATAACAGTTATATGCCAAAACCTCCAAATTCATAATTTTAAGGTTATTGAATCTAGCTTAAATGTTTTTTAACTATTAAAACCCATATCTAATTAGTTCTATTTTAGAGGAATCATAAACCTAACTTTTGGTCTCTGACTCCTTGGCCATCTTCTCTTATCAAATTACACCAGTTAGAAATTATTTTAAGAATTACTTTTAAAATATTTGTTTGTTTATTATTGTATGTGTACATACTAAAGCAAGTGTATTGAGCTTAGAAAAAAACTTGTCAAAACTGGTTCTCTTTCCTCCTTATGAGTCTTTTATTTCACCATTCCACATTCAAATCTATCATCAACTTGTGCTGTCTGCAAATTACTGAACTACCCTTTCTTGCCTCCCCCTGAAGTCACGATTGAAAGCTGCCACTGTCTTCTCTCATGGTGACCATCGAATGGCTCTTTCTAAGTGCCCTCTTGCTTACTGAAGCTTAATCCATTTTCTAGGGACCTGTGACAAGGCAAAATGATGGATCATGCCATCCCTGCTTTCCCACAGCACTGGGATTAAACTCTAAGCCTGCTACACCGATCCCTGAGGCCGGTTATTACTGTTCTTCTGTCTCATCTCAGGGTCTCCCACTCTCTGTTTGTCTGTAGTGCTGGGGATTAAACCTCAGGGCACCTTGCATGCTAGGCAAATGCATTACTTCTGAGCTGTAGCTGCAGCCACCCTCTTCCTTAGCTCAGTCTCTCTAACCTGCACCTTTCCTGCATGTAAGTTTTCATGCAAGCTGTTCTCTTTGCCCAGGATATTTCTTCCTTCACTTCTTACCTGAACAACTCAGCCTTTGGGAAACTTGAATGTTACTTCAATACCACCATAAATGATGTGGTCTTGTAGAGCACCCTGCCTTTTTATTATTTTGTATTAGTCACAGTTTATAAATATCTATTTACTGATATGACTGGCATGGCTGTAAATCTCATGAGGGAGACTGTTCGGTCTGATTCATAGTGCAGCAATCTGCCCCCAAAGAATATGTATGGAGGGAATAAATGGATGAATGAGCGCATTATTGACTAAGTAAACTCAATTGTTCTAATGAATGTCTCAACAATCTGTCAGGGCTGTTCAGAAGGTTTGTAATTTGATGTTTGGCTTTTTCTTTGTGCTTCAGATAATATTCAAATGAATGCTCCAAAAAAAACTGGCCACAGAGGTGTGGAGGAGCAGTGGGGCTTCAGTAGAGTAAGTTCTGGGGGCTCCTTCTCAGTGCTGGGAGTTCCAGCTGGCCCCCATCCTGACATGTTTCCACCATGCAAAATTACTGACCTGGAAGCCATAAAAGCAGAAGAGGATGTGATCCTCTCTTGGACAGCACCTGGAGAAAACTTTGATCAGGGCCAGGGTAGGTTTGTTGTCATTGTTATACAACTAACTTTCTACAAACAGTATTTCATTTTCAATGTGCAATGTGTGTGTGTGTATGTATGTGTGCGCGTGCATGCGTGCGTGTGTACGTGTGTGTGTGTGTGTGTGTGTGTGTGTGTGTGTGTGTGTGTGTGTGTGGTCATTTTTATTGTTTTCTGTCGCAAGCTTTCTGGTCAGACTTTCTTTGGACCACCAGCCCCCACACGGAGACTTATTAATTACAAAAGCTTGGCCTCAACTTAGACTTGTTTATAACTCTTATAACTTAAATTAACCCATTTATATTAATTTATGTTCTGCCATGTGGCTGTTTTCTCTTCTCCATAATGTACATCCGACTTTCTATGTATTTTCATGGTGAAATCTGCAGACCTGATTATCTCCCAAGTTCCTTTCTCTCTCCCAGAAATCCCACCTATCCTCTCTTGCCTAGCTATTGGCCATTCAGCTCTTTATTAAACCAAGCAGAATAAAACAGCAACACATTTTCACACAGTGTGATCAAATATCCCACAATAGTTTTCCGTATAACCTTTACAAAATGTTTCACTAGTTAAAGCAAGACCTAGAGACAGCTCAAATAAAGCAACCTAAAATTTACATAATAACTTATAGGGAGGATGACATCTTGATGATGCTGGATCTTGCTTTTAAAAATTACCAAGCTCTCCTGGCACAGGTTTTAGCATCAATCTTTACATTATGACTTGATATTTAGTGCTTTTTCAGTTGTATATTCCCTTATAGTTTGACTTTTTTGTGACCATTTTCATTATTCATTTTTAATAAACTAAAAAAAACCTTACTCAGTGACTAAACTTTCCCATATGTATTTTCAATTTCAGCTACAAGCTATGAAATAAGAATGAGTAAAAATCTACAGAGTATTCGAGACAATTTTAACAATGCCATTTTAGTGAACACTTCAGAGCTAAATCCTCAGCAAGCTGGCACAAGGGAGATATTTACATTCTCACTGAAGCTTGTCACCAGTGAACTTGAACATGAACCTGATGGAAAAATGCAAGAAAACCACGTAGTGTATGTGGCCATGAGAGCAGTGGATCAAAACTCCCTGAAGTCAGATGTATCTAACATCGCCCTGGTGTCGCTGTCTGTTTCCCAAAATTCTGCTCCTGCACTTAGCAGAGATGAATTAATACTGAAAGGAGTTTTAGTGGCAGTAGGTTTGATAGCAATGGTCTGCCTTATTATAGTTGCAGCACACTGCACTTTAAATAGGAAAAAAAGAGCATTAAAGAAAGACAATGTAACAAAATTGCTATGAACCAATGTGCATAGTACCTTCCTTCCTAGATATGATGCCCATGGCCTTTACATTCATAAAAAATGCCAACAAAATCAAATTAGCATCAACACTATGTTGAAATGCATTTGGGCATTTATATAATCACGGTTCAGGTTTTTACATAGTAGATAGACACCACCACCCCTCAAAAAGCCAGCTTTTATAATACTCATTTGGGGGGAATGGTTAGAAAACAGTAATTTTATAGTTATGGAAAAATAATTTTTAAAAATATTGTTCAAGGTAATGTCTTGAAAGGCAAGGTAAGGGCAAAATCAAATCTGGGTCAAGAAAAGCATGTTTTATTAAAGTTGAGGGAAAAAAATATCCCAGGCACAGAAAAGGAGGTTGGGTCTGAATTAGGCAGTGTAACTGACTGTATGAAGCCACCGTGTTACTTTGATTAATTTCTCATCTCTGCTTATCTGTGCAGAGCAGGATGCATGTTTATAACTGACAACCAAGCTGTGATAGAGCTGAGGTCTCCACTACAGGCTCTTCATGTCTTCTCCTTTGGTTAAGTTCGCTATGGCTCTCATTCCACCACCAATGCTTGGACAGGCTCTTCCTCACTGTGAGTGGAGACCTTAGAGTGTGGCCATTGTCCTTACTCCTTGGTACTGATCTGTGACAGAGGTCGCCAGAGTTTATTGTTTGTAAGATTTTAGTCCCATTGAAGCAGCTTTGAAGTTATTACCTTGGAAATACTTGAATAAAAATGGTTACAGCGCTCATGAGGCTTTAAGTAAAGAATAAAAACATTATTCTGAAGTAATTTTAATATGTACACCATACAGTTTTACTCTATTTGAAAGAAGAGGTCATGGAAAGAAAGACATTTAGAAGCAACTAGCAAATTATGTTCTCTAGTTAAATAAGAATCTACAATCCTTTCTTCATCAAGGGCAGAGAAAGGAGACAGCAGAGATAACACAGAATAAAAACCATCGAAAGTTACTTACTCTTTAAAAAAAAAATATTATTGAATAGTAACATGAAGCCAGAAGGGAGAGATTCGGCAGAGTGGGAGAAAAACAGCCAGGGATTCCCTCTGCTCCAGCTGCTTTCCCAGAATTCCTGTTACTGTCCGTGTCCTCCATTGCCGTCTAAGTTTCCAGTACCTAAATCTCCACAGCTGGGAGCCTGGAGGCCTCTCCAGCCCAGGTCCCAGAGTGGAGCTGGGTCCTTCTGCCCTGCATTGCCGCTACATCCAATAGCCAGCATTTGCTTCTCTGTGGCTTCAGATTGGGCTGGTAAAATACAGAGATGGGCCTGTGAGTAAGAAGCTCAATTTCTCAGGTGTTTTTCTTATTTTACAGACAGAAAGACAGAATCAGGATGGATCAAGGCTCTTTGTTTTTTTATATATGTTTATTTTATAATTAATTTAATTTTACATATCAGCTACGGATTCCCCTGTCCTCCCTCCTCCCACCCCCCCACCCTTCCCCCCAACTCACCCCCCATTCCCACCTCCTCCAAGGCAAGATCTCCCCTGGGGAGTCAGCCCAGCCTGGTAGATTCAGTTGAGGCAGGTCCAGTCCTCTCCTCCCCACACCAAGGCTGAGCAAAATGTCTCAGCATAGACCCTAGGTTCCAAAAAGTCAGCCCATGCACCAATGTTCCACTGCCTGGGGGCCTCCTAAACAGTTCAAGCTAATCAACTGCCTCACTTATCCAGGGGGCCAATCTGCAAGGGAGATCAAGAGATATTGAGACCATGATTGGAAAAAGCACAGGGACAAAGAGCCAAAGTAGTGGAAACACATGAACTGTGAACCGATAGCTGAGGAGCCCCATGGAACTGGATCAGGATCAAGGCTCTTTGATGGAGGATAGCAGAGCTGTATAAATGTAGAGACAAGTTATCAGTTATCCCTTTACTTTGCCTACTGAAAAGGACATGAGAGCTGCCAGGGGAGACTTCACTCTTCCATGATCCATTAGCAGGAGAGAGCCACTTGTGGGGTTTGATGCATACTTGAACCCCAACATTAAAGAGGCTGTGGCAGAAGGAGAGAGAATTGAGGCCAGACTGCACCATACAACAAGACTCTGTCTCAAAAAACTAAAACACAAGAAAAGAAAAGGAAAGAAAGACTAAAGGACTTGCTTTATTTCTGTTTTTCCCCCATTTTGTGAGAACGAGTATAAGCAAGTACATCTGACTTTGGTTTGGAAATTAGCAAAGTGGCAGAGACAAAAGTTAAGGACACCGAAGATGTAAAGTTAACACCCATGCCATGCAGAGTGGTCGATCTCATGAAGTGGAGAGAGAAAATGGTACTCAGGACCAGGAGGGAAAAGTGGAGGCAACAAGAGAGATGCAGTAGATAGAGGAAAATACTCAATTAGAGATCCCAGCCACTGATAGAGCAGATCTGTGTTAAAGCTCCTGTTGATCATAAATAAATAAATAAATAAATAAATAAATAAATAAATAAATAAATAAAAACAGAAACAGAAAATTGGTACAGGGAGAAGGAGGAAGCATGAATCATTAGCCATTGGCTGTGTACCACATGAATAACGACATTAAAGATTTGACCTGAGATTATAAGAGGAGGGAAAATGGGAACTAGATACTCAGTTATCTGATTGGGGCAGAGAAGTCTGGGAAAATGAAAGTAATACAGCAAACAGCATAGTCTCTAAATGACAGAATGGTAATGGTTATACAGTAGACAGAACTGAGTTCTAAGGATTAAAGACTTCTCACTTTTGCCCTCAGCTTTTAGTGCTAGCAAAGAAAGATGAAATTTCAATGGAAGACAGACAAAAGCAGGAGATGCCAGCTTCTAATAGACCATAGACAGAGCATAGGCTCAGCAACTGAGAAGACTCCTAAGCAGGCACTGTCACCTTGCATGTTATTCCCAGAAAAATCTACCCCAAAAATGTTTGTCTTTGTTTATCTGCTATTAAAATGTATTTATTCTAAGAAGTAGTGAACCTGCTAAATCATTTCTTTCAAAGTTTAAATCCAAAGACACTAATGAGTGAAGTTGCTTCTTCCAGACGAATTTTCTTGTTTCTGTGAAACAAGATTCTTTAAGACACTGGACACTAACAAAAACAGAGAGAAACTGCCACATCAACGGGGAGTCCATCAAGGTGAGATCTGATTTTAGTCAGCTCTCCCTGGAAGACGCTCACATTTTGAGACATTAGACAGTGCTTAAGCAGAAAGCAACAGTTTTATGGGGTGAATAAACTAGGCTCTCAGGACACTGGTGTAGCTGCAAACTGAAAAGTGAAGTCTGAGAAAGCAGGTATCACAAAGGGAGAACTTCACAAGATGAGTCTCATGTTACCCAGGAAGTGTGTGGGAGAAAAATGGCTGAAAGACAAAGAGCTGGAGAATATTCAGCTACTGTCTCATTCTGGGGAAGGTGCCGAAGACTCCACTGCATCTGTGTGAGAAAGGTGGGACTCACACCGGTTGTCTCTGGCCAAGCAGAGACCATATTACTAATTAGATTGTGCCTTAGAACTGAGGGCAAATCCTTAGTCTGCTCTGAAAAAGCCTGATACCAAGGCTCTCTGGAAACAAGATGATTAATAATTAAACTAGCACTAGAACAGAACTCTAAAAAAAATACATACAACCCTGCACATGCACACACACACACACACACACACACACACACACACACACACACACGCAGAAGTAAAACATACCAGTAAGGAGTAAATCTGTTGGTAGAAGTAAAACAATTCTCTAGATCTCGAAATAGATGACAATGAGATAATAACAACTATTATAATGATGATATGCTATCTGAAGAAGAATTTTGAGAAAATTTTCAAACTTTTAAAAAGAAAACAGCAGTGAACTAAAATGTCCACCAGGGAGCTACAACTGACAAACACTTTCAGCGAAACAGCTGGACACAGAATTAACTCATGAAAATCAGTAGCCCTTCTACATGCAGATGACAAATGGACCGAGAAAGAAAGCAGAGAAACAACACCTTTCACAACAGCCTCAAATAATATAAAACATGTGGGTGTAACTCTAACGAAGCACATGAAAGATTTGTATGATAAAAAGTTCAAGTCTTTGGAAAAAGAATTGGTTGTGCATGGTGGCCCATGCCTTTAATTCCAGTACTCCAGAAGACAGAGACAGGTGGATCTCTGAATTTGAGGCCAGCCTGGTTCTTCATAGTGAGTCCTAGGACAGCTAGAGCTACATCGAGAAACTCTACCAAAAGAAAAAAAAAAGCTGAAAGAAAGCAGACAGAAGAAAGAAAAAGAAATTAAAGAAAATATCAAAAGATGGAAATATGTCCCATGCCCATGAATTGGTAGGATTAACATAGTAAAAATGGCCATCATACCAAAAGCAATCTACAGATTCAATGCAATTCCATTCAAAATACCAACACAATTCTTCACAGTTCCTAAAAGGACAATTGTCAATTTCATATGGAAACACACACACACACACACACACACACACACACACACACACAACCAATGGAATCAAATTGAAGACCCAGACATAAATCAACACACCTATGCACACCTGCTTTTGATAAAGAAGCCAGAAATATACTCGGAGGGGGGAGCATCTTCAGTAAATGGTGCTGATCAAACTGCACTTAGAAGAATGCAAATAGATCCATACTTATCAAATTGCACAAAACTCAAGTCCAAATGGACCAAAGAACTCAACATAAAACCAGATATACTGAACCTAATAGAAAATGGCCGCAGCCTGGAACTCTTTGGCACAATAGAAGACTTTTTGAGCAGAATACCGATAGCACAAGCACTAAGATCAACAATTAATAACAGGGACCTCATGAAACTGAAAACTTTTTGTAAGGCAAAGGACAACATCATTTGGAGAAGGTGGAAGCCTAAGGTATAGGAAAGGGCTTTTACCAACTCTACATCCAATAGATTATTAATATCCAAAATATATAAAGAACTCAAGAAACTAGATATCAACAAAACGGATAATCCAATTTTAAAATATAGTACAGATCTAAACAGAGAATTGTCAATAGAGGAAACTCAAATGGCTGGGAAACACTTAAAGAAATGCTCAACATCCTTAGCCATCAGGGAAATGCAAATCAAAATGACTTTGAGATTCTGTCTCACACCTCTTAGAATGGCTAAGATCAATAACACAAGTAACAGCTCATCCTGGCAAGGATTTGGAATAAGGGGAACACTCATTCATTGCTCTTCAGAGTGCAAACTTGTACAGCCACTATGGAAATTAGCATGGCAGTTATCCAGAAAGATATGGATCAATCTGCTTCAAGATCCAGCTATACCGCTCTGGGGCATATACCCAAAGGACACTTCATCCTACAATGAAGACACTTGCTCAGACATGTTCATTGCTGCTCTATTCATAAAAGCCAGAAATTGGAAACAACATAGATGTCCCTAAACAGAAGAATTGATAAAAAGAATGTGGTACATTTACACAACAGGGTATTACCTGTTTAAAAAACGATATCATGACATTTTAGGCAAATAGATGGAACTAGAAAAAAAATCATCCTGAGTGAGTTAACCCAGAGTCAGAAAGATAAATATGGTTTGTATTCATTTACATGTGGATATCTGCTGTTAAGTAAATAATAATCAAGCTACAATCCATAGCCCCAGACAGGGGAGGTATAGAAGAAAGGACTTGAGAGGACACATGGGTATCCCTGGGAGGGGAAAATAGAACAGATTTTCTGGATGTCTACAGAAAGTACAATTG